TTGAATAGGCAGAGGATACAAAAAACTGTAGGATAGGGCAGGAAATTAAAAGCCATCCCTTAAGAAGTCTGCAACAAATAATTTTATATTTTATATTGAATACTTTTTCTAATTTACAATTCTATATTGTTGCCAAGAAAACTGTAAACATATGTCCATGACATCATTGGTGATTGAGTACAACTCGATTTTACTTTTTAAAATGATGAAGTACCGTATTTTTTGGAGTATTTATTTATTTATTTATTATCAAATTTTATATGCCGCCCTTCTCCCGTAGGACTTGGGGCGGGTTACATAATAAAAATACTAAAACCAAAGCCAATTTAAAATCCCCAATTTAAAATCATGCAGCTGATCAGGGAATTTGTCGAAAGAGCCAAGTCTTCAGGTCAGTGCGGAAAGTGTGGAGGTCGGGGGCCGTCTGGAGCCCAGTGGGTAATGAGTGGGTATAAGACACTCTGGAGTATTTTTGTTGTTGTTAGTTCTGAAGTCGTGTCCGACTCATCACAACCTCATGGACAACATTCCTCCAGGCCTTCCTGTCCTCTACCATCCTCTGGAGTCTATTTAAGTTCATGCCTACTGCTTCAGTGTCTCCATCCAGCCATCTCGTTCTCTGCCGTTCTCTTCTTCTTTTGCCCTCAATCTTTCCAAGCATTAGGCTCTTCTCCAGTGAGTCCTTCCTTCTCATTAGTTGGCCAAAGTATTTGAGTTTCATCTTCAGGTCCTGGCCTTCTAAAGAGCAGTCAGGGTTGATCTCCTCTATGACTGACCGGTTTGATCACCTTGCAGTCCAAGGGACTCGCAGGAGTCTTCTCCAGCACCAGGTCTGGTGTATAAAAGACACCTTATTTTTGAGGGAGGAAAATAAGAAAAAAAAATTCTGCTCAAGAGGCTCTCTGTTTGGGAGGCTGTGTTTTCAGCTTCCAAAAACTCTGTTTGCAAAGGAGCTTCTCTTTGCAAAGGCAACTTCTCAAACGGACCTTTTGGAGGCTCCTCCAAAAGCTCCAAAAGGGTGGGGGCCAGTGGGTGGGCAGGGCTACATTTGATGTATAAGACGTACCTAAATTTCACCCTCTTTTGGGGGGGGAGTGCGTCTTATATTTCAAAAAAATATGGTAGTACCAATATTTTGATATTTTGGACATTGATCACTTATGTGGCACATCCAACATGCTTTTAATAGAATTCTTAGAAATGCTTGATTGTCTTTGCAAAGTTTACATTGATCTTAAGAAGAATCTTATTCTTAAGAATCTTAAGAATCTTACATTGATTTTAATAAGAGATTGGACAGTATATGTTTTTCTGCATTAGAGTTGTTTATTCAATAAGCCTATTTTAAAAATAACTGGGTGCAAATGTTGAAGAAGAGGCAGCTAGAAGTGTCACTGTATTGGCCCAGCATAGCATCCAGAAATGCATCTCCTCAATGTCTGCAGGAACACCCCTGCTGTTCTCATAGAGGCAGCCGTGCTTTCTGAACACACTATTTTGAGTGTCATTACCTTTTTCCGGAGCAATTGCAATATGTTATTCCTCTGCCATTATGCCGCTGTAGAGAAACTAGCTAGGCTAACTCCATATTATCCTGGCAAAGGCACCAGGAGAGGATTAGATTGCTTTCCAATATTTCAGTGAATTAGAGCTTAAAGCGGAATGGATGAGTAGGAAAGTGGATGGCTTTGTGTGGAGAGATTGGCAGCAGGAATGGCACGTTATATAAAGATACTGCCACTACAAAGTGCTTGATGCCTATACATTTATTCAAGGAAAACAAATATCTATAGCATGCTTTCTGTTTAAAAGAGGCCAGAACAACTCTATTGGGGATGGGTTAAACTAACTTACTTTCTTTCCCTTCCTTCCTTCCTTCCTTCCTTCCTTCCTTCCTTCCTTCCTTCCCTCCTTTCTTTTCCCCTCTACTTTTCCAATGCCATTTTTTCATTCCCTTATCTACCTCCTTAATGCCTTCTTAATGCATTCCTTAATCCTCTACGGAAGCTTTATATTCATCAAATCAAAACCACTCCTAATTTTCAAAGAATCCCTTTGATTTGGTAGATCTAAAGTGATATTAGACCACTCATACCTTGCCATTTTTTAGTCCCTCATCTATCCACAGAAATGGCTTTTCCATCTAAAGCTGCCTGGCTTCTGCGGGGACATGAAACAACTTTTCAAGGAGTTGAAACTTGCTGAAGTAATTAGTCTGTGTTTCCAATAGTATGTGGATAGTCCCTAGGTCAAAATCCCACAACCAATTATATTTAGGAATTCCCAAAGTTTTATTATCATCAGGCCATGAAGCAGAAATTATTCAATATTCTTCAGGCTGGGTGAAAATAATGCGTCCTCAAAGAAGCCATTCACTACTTGTCATCCAAAGTAGCATTAAAAAATTCTCAATTTGAGACCTTATCCATCCATTTCTCCATTTGGATAAGATCTCAGAGGTCCACTTGAGACCTTATCTCCAGATGTGATTCCATCTGAGATAAAGAACAATTTTGATGATAGAGAACATTGTCTTCAGGGCTTTCCCTGAAAGCTGTTTGAAAACTTCAATTAATACAAGACATATATGCTAGATTACTAACTGAGACTGATTATTAGGAACATCTCAGGGTGCTTTAACACTTTTCTTTAAAGCATTATACCACTTATGACCCTCCTACACTTGCTTTTAAATCACCCAAGACTGAGTTGGAGATATTCAGGGTTAAATGGGTATGAATTGGGAAGAAATCCTCATTTTACCTTGCAAGATTTTGCCTGTTAACTTTTCTCTCAAAGTAGGCTTGGTTAATCTCTATTAGGAAACATTTGTTTTCTTCTCTGTTCTATTACAGACTTTTTTTTTTTGTTACAAGTACTTCTACTACGAAGTAAAGTAAAATAAGTTGCCGACTTGTAGAGCATCCTCAATGCTGTCTCAGGGCAAAGATATTTCCATGATGCAGTCTAAGAATCTTCAGATGTGACATAAAATAATTGAGTCTAATCAACTAAAAGGGATGTTGGTAAAAAAATTAAATGGATACAAATTTCCAGATGAAATAATAAAAAAAATCTTAATGTATGATATTGTTCTAAATTCAGCCCCCAATGCAAATGGATAAAATTACAGATATCTTGTTGAAATACACATCAATATTAGTCAATAAAAGCCAGTTATCTTTACATAATGGGTTAAAGAACACTGTCTTGAATTCCTGAGAAAAAGAATGAAAATTCAAAGAAGGAATCTGGCTTTTTTTGTTTAAATTCGCGAGTATTCTTACTCTGTTAAGGTTCACATAAGTACATATCAAAGGGAAATTTCTGTATAGTGAAAGAGACAGCTTGTTTAAAAACTATTCTAAAACAAGTATAAGATAGATTGCATAATGTCCCTGAGCAAGCCACACTGATTTGAAATATGCTTAGCTTTTTTATTCATGCTTTTTGAGTAGAAAAATGGAAGAAGCTATTTAAGTTAAAATATATTATAAATATGGTCACACAAAGTAACGATTCCCTTGAACTTGATTCCTGGTAATTACATATTTCCTTTGGCAGCAGTATACTGCCTGGGGTTTCCTGCTGAGATCCCATCCAGGCATTAATCAGGTCCATCCTTTTGGTTTTTTCAGTTCAACTAACATTGGTCCATGGGTAATGCTCCAGACATAATGAAAACAAATGCACAATTGATCTAATTTGTGTTGAAGCTACTTATTCTATCAGCATGATTGTTATTAGTGTCACTGTAGTTTAAGTACCTATATCTTCATTTAAAGCAACAACAACTATTGACTTTTATCAGACAGCCAACTATTTTGTCCTAGAATGGGTGCAGAAATTATTTCTATGCCAATTGGAGGTGCTATGAATAGAAATATTATTTAAATACAGTATGCATATAAAATTGACAAAATAATTCTGCAGTTTGTTAGGTTTGCAATATTCCTGTGAATTAACTTTATGTTGTTCTCATTTTAAAGCTACAAAGCTGATAATGAAATAGTGGCTTGCCTGACACTGCTCACTGAGAAGTTGGCTGTATGTTTGGCTCCTCTCTTAGATCCAGTTATGTCAATGTAGACTTTTTTGGAAATTGGATTATTTTATTCTCTAGGTACACTTGTGGACAATGCTGCAAGAGTTAAGTGTACTAACATTTACAGACTATGCTGCTTGCAAGAACGTATCCTATCACTTTTAGCAAAGCAGCATTTATATACTTATTAAATGTGACTAGATATAATCTAGAATATTAAAGTATTTTTGTGTGTGCATACAAAAATTCATTTTTAGTAAAAATGCATGGAACTGGACAAACTGATTTCTTTTAACCATGGGAACACATGATGTAAACAGAATGCTCAGATAGTTGATGTTTTATGGTGTTGTAAGGCTTTAACATATTTATGCTACAATCTTATACATAATTACTGGAAATAACTTCAGTTATGCTTACCACTTAATAAACAAAAATGGGCTGCACTGTTTACCAAAATACATCATACAGACAGAACAACAGTATTTTTTAATAAGGAAAACATGGTATTTTGAATGGTATCAAGTGAATTTCTGCTCTGTAAATAATATTCATTTCACACATTCCCAGTGAACATGCTATATAAAAAAGTGCTATTTTAATGAAAGTTATATTTTGTTGATAAATTCAAAGATTGATAAATCTGGTGATTGTTCTCTTAATATTAGTAAGATTAATTTCATATTTTTACATATCAACGCACACAGTTTTAAAATTTGCTGGACATAGATATGACTTTAGTAATACTGAAGGGAATAAACTACTTGACATTCACAAAGTTTCAAGAACTAATTGAGCAACACTCTTAATATATCCCATCACTAAGCTTTCCATTTCCAGACGCACACTTCACAACAGTGCTGACAAGCAAAAAATAGAGCATTTACAGTGCTAGTTCTGACCTTCAAGTAGAACAAACACAGAGAATGAAAGTCAAGAGAGATGTTCTACTTACTTTGTCCTTCAAATTTCCTGATGATTGTATCCAAATAGGTGTTCTGAGGGGCCACGTGCCCCCTCCTGACAGGCATTTTCAGACTTTTGTTCACATCCAATGGGAATGAGAAATGCCGCTTTCTTCAGTAAGATGCTCTGGTTTTGAGTAGAAGGGTGGAAGAAGCTTGAGCTCTGCTCTGAGAAACCAAGGGGTAGTTAGCTAAGAGGCCCTTGCCTCTTGTACTCTCCTGCTTGGTAGCTGTGAAGAGAGCAAAGACTCCCCCCTTGTACCCATATCCCTCCCTTAATTTTCTTTAGCTCCTGACCAATACAATTTCACCAAGGGCAGGAGGGGGAGAGTTGAAAGAAACACCAGAGGAAAAGGGGTGGGTAATTTCCTTTTTATTTTTTTAATGATGATGCTTAGTCATCAGTGTCCCATTCCATATGTGGCTGTCTCAAAGACTTGTCAGCAGCAACAGCTGTTAATCTGACAATAACCAGCAGCCACCTCCCTTCTCTCTTTTTGGGATCCTAAATAGACGTGGAACCGAAAAAACTCACGGGGAGAGAAATGTCTCTCTGGTCTCTAATTCAACGCGGAAGAAGCTGAAGAAAGGATTGGGGCTTGTAAGGAGAGACGCACGCCTTTGGGAGGGGGTCTCCTTGTCGCTCCCCCTTTCTGTTCCTTTAACGTTCGGATGGCAAGAAGACGTTTGGAGTCGATGAAAGCAGGAGCTGTTCTCAGGCTGTGGTGCTGAAGAGCCCTCTCTGGACAGAATACCACCTGGGTTGCTGACTGCTAATCCGGGGGCGGAAGGAGAAAAAGAATGAATGGGAGGAGGGGGCAGTGAAAAGAGGAGAAAGCACATTTACAAGGTTTTGCAGACATTGGTTCACTCTGGACTATACTTACAAACCGGGCTTCTTGGCATTTTGCCATACAGCCACTTGTTTGCTACTGGGAAAGAAGATGGAACAAACAAAATATACCAATCACACCAGAGATAGAGAGCTGATCAGCGCTTCTTCACAGTTAACTTACCACCTTATAGAAGAACAAACTAAGTGGAAGAAAGCTATTGTAATAATGCTGCCATTGGCTTTAGGGCTTATTCCAATATTTTGTTTGATATATTTGTTGGATATGTAATAGGAACCAGGTTTCCATAAGATAAGATAAGATAATTTTATTTCTATACCGCCCCTCTCCCGAAGGACTCGGGGTGGTGCACAGCCAAGTAAAAACACAATGCAAACATCATAATTAAATTTAAAAATTGTTAAAATTCTTACATTTGCGGCCAAAAATCGTTAAAAACCCAGAAATTTAAAACCTCCAAATTTAAAACTCCATTACACAGATAGCCCTGCCTGTCAGAAGATGCAGATGATCATAAGAATCATAAAACAGTTTTATATACATAAAAAAAGGATAAGGTTTTTTTTTTTATTATTTGATTTATATGCCGCCCTTCTCCGAAGACTCAGGGCGGCTTACAATGTGCTCAGCAATAGCCTTCATCCTTTTGTATATTTATACAAAGTCAGCTTATTGCCCCCACAACTGGGTCCTCAATTTACCTACCTTAGAAAGGATGGAAGGCTGAGTCAACCTTGAGCCTTGGCGAGATTCGAACCCTGCAGTAATTGCAGGCAGCTGGTCTTAATAACCAGCTTAATAACAGGGTGCCTTAAACCCCTGTACTACCAAGGCTCTTGGTAAAATGTTAAAATGTTTCCTACGGATCCTAATTGTAATAATTGTGTGTCAATATCCTTTCTTCTAAAACTGAACATTGATTAATAATGGTGGAAATTTGTCAGTTATAAAAAGTATATTACAAACTAAAAGAAAAATAATTTGAATTATATCTTTATGGGTATGCAGCATGATGTCATCCAGATGAATGGGACTAGAACCTCACAATCCCTAGTTGTACACATGCTGGCTGGAGCTTATGAATCCAAAATTTTTGGAAGGCATCAGGTTGTGTAGTCTATTCCAAGCACAAATTTCCACAGTTCTTTATATGTCATAATCAGATCAATTTATATTACTTCAGCATTAAATCTGCTCCTAAAAAGTATCTGGAAACTTCAGCTAAAGCAAAATGTCAGGTTACTGGCTGGAGCTTTGCAATATAACAGTAAAATCCAATAACCAAGTTTATTAAATCAATAAACATGTTTATTAAATCACCTTGGCTGCCTATTTGAGTCTAGGCTTGAGTTTTAGAGGTAACACCTTTTATACTTCTAAAAAGTTGAGACCTAACTACTTTATGGACCATTTTCTTTCCATATACAAGAAAGCATTGAGTGGAGTATAAATATATTTTTCTTGGGATTGTGATTATCTTGGGCACTCCTGTTAAATGCTTGGAGATGTACTTCAGAATCTTTTGTAGATCCCTTCTTGTGAAAAATATTGAAATATTGAGCTGTCCATTGACTCAGATCTGAGATTGACAAAGTCTACTAATATTGTCCCATATAATTCATTCCTGTAATTACAGGGATGTCTCTGACTCTTGGAATAGCCGTTTACTAGGGGACAGAAGAAACACTCAAAATGATTTTTAAGAGGGAGGAATTTTATCAGCAGTTCAATCAGAATAGAACTGAGAGGGACCTTGGAGGTCTTCTGGTCCAACACCTGCTCAAGCAGGAGACCCTATACAATTTCAGACAAGTGACTATCCAATTTCTTCTTAAAAACCTCCAGTGATGAAGCACTCACAACTTCTGAAGGCCAGCTGTTCCACTGGTTAATTATTCTCACTGTTAGGAAGTTTCTCCTTATTCCAGGTTGTTTCTCTCCTTGATTAGTTTCCATCCATTGTTTCTTGCCTGCCCTTTGGTTCTTTTCTTCTCAGCTTCACCAAGGTGCAGCATTGAAGAATGGACATTTTATGTCTGTGCTTGTGTTTGTTCTGTGTAGTTTTTCAGGCATTACATTGGCCAATTTTTTTGTTTGCTTGTCCTTTCTTGTCTTTAGCTTAGCCTTGGCAAGTGTATGGACAAGTTCCTGTGGTTTTCTTGGCAAGATTTCAGAAGTAGTCTGCCAGTAACTCTGTCCTAGAATTCAGAGAAAGGGACCAGCCCAATCTTAGCTGGCTGGCTTTGAGACTAAGGTGGAGAAACCTTAGTTTTCTGGTTTCTAGTCTGATGCCTTCACCAATACACCATACTGGCCCTCAAGAAATGGTTGGACCTGAAGATTGTGAGTATGGTCACCTTCTCTTTAGATCCATGTTCCTCCGGATTTATTAAAACAGTCTTGGGGGTGTCCTGGAGGCGAGTTCTTTCTCTTTTTTTGCATCCCTTTATTTTGAACAATTTTCATCTAACACGAAGCCTTTATTTTTAGGGAAGATGGTAAAGAAACTTCAAAGGACCTTAGAGAAAGTGGATTATCTGGACTGCTTTCCAGTCAGAATTCAGACCTGGATGTGACACAAAAATGGCATTGCTCATGCTTATGGATAACTTCTAGTGTGGTCAGATGGGAGAGTAAATCCCTTACTGCTCTATTTATCCTCTCAGCAGCTTTCAGTACCATCAACCATGAATTGAATTGGCTCAGAGAGCTGAGGACGGGTGGCATGCTGTTTTGCTGGTTCACTTCCTTCTTTCTGCACTAATTCAAGTTAGTGATGATTGGGAAGGAGAGTCCCACTCCTAATCCATACTATATGGGGTGGCACAGGGTTTTGTACTTGCTCCTTTGCTTTATAACATCTACTTGCAGTCACTGGTGAACTCACCTGTCATCATGGGGTGAGGCGTCATCAATGTGCAGATGGTACTCAACTGCATATCAATCTGGCAATCAATCAACCAAGTACCAAATTGGTTGTCATTCAATTTCCAGGTCCAATTCAAGGTGCTGGTTTTAACCTCTGGTCATGTGCAGAGTGCTTTCATGGTATTTCTGGTCATGTGCAGAGTGCTTTCTGCCCAAACCTGGGTGGGTGATTTCGTGGTGTTTCTGGTCATGTGCAGAGTGTGTTTGGATGGAGAGTTACAGCAATGTTCCCCCCAAAGCTGATACTGATGCCGTGAAAAAAGTAATGCTGAGAACAGTTTTTTTCCCCCCCAGTTTGGACTCCAAACTTTCCTGTCCCTGCAGCCCCATTTCCATAATGCATCAGGCCTGCAACTAAATGCAGCTGCAAACTTTGCAATCTGCTTGATGAGCAAGAATTTGAATGCAACTCAAAAGAAGCCATTTTAGTTTTTAAAAAAGCTGACATCCCACCCCACTGCTTCCCAAAACTGCCCTTTTTTTCTGATCAAGACACCCTCAAACATTAAGCAATGTGGCTTTAAAATAAAACTTGCAGGGCTTCCCATTTTGACATCCTCCCCCCCCGCCCCCGACAGCCTGCTCACTCGCCTGCCCATCCAGTACTCCATCCAGCACCCACAGCAAGGCGTTCCCACAGTGAATTTACGGTGTTAAGATGTCCTGCAAAGAGATGGCAGCGAGGACTCAGTGTTGCGAGGAGACTGCCCTCAGCTGGCCATGATGAGCTAGTGGTATCAAGTCCTCCCATTCCATCACATGATTGTGAATTAAAAGAAATAGTAACCTTAGGCAGCCAAGCTACTCTGTAATAACACTGTAGACTCGGCTCTCAATGTACAAATGCAATAACTAACTAAATAAACAAATAACTAAATAAACAAATAAATTCTTATATTTGTATTTGCTGTTTTTGTATTTTTATTTATTATTGTATATTGCCAAGAGTTGCCTTAGTGAGAAGGATGGCTATATAAATTAAGAAAGAAAGAAAGAAGAAGGAAGGAAGGAAGGAAGGAAGGAAAGAAAGAAAGAAAGAAAAAAGAAAGAGAAAGAAAGAAAGAAAGGAGGGAGGGAAGGAAGATGCTAGAAGATATCTTTGCATTTCTAAAAGGAACAGTAATTCCAGAATTAAAATAACACAGTAGGCTGTAATACATTGTGGTACAAGGGGCAACTTTAATTGGCTTCTTAAAATGTTTAACGTGGAATATTTCTCATTTTCTTGATAACGGAAGAGGCAATTTATAGTATAACTGTCTTAGTTTAGGTGCTACCATTTGGGAATCAGCCAAAATGGTTTGCAAACATTCACGTTTTTTTATATTTTTAATTAGGCATGATTACAAAAAGCAGTGTGTGTGTGTGTGTGTGTATGTGTGTACCAATTCTCTCCTGAATTAAACCGGATGTTTCAGCCAAAATGTCTTTGGTTCAAAGTTAGTGTGGATAGAATTTGTAGACTAGATGTGTTAGAAGGGTGTCAATCAGGGTTGGGTTCCTTTAGTACCGGTTTGCAGTGGGAGCGCGTGCTTGCACTTCTGTGCATGCGCAGATCACCCATGATGATGTCATGGCGGGTGGCTGGAGCCACCCGCCGGTTTTACTATCGGTTCTATAGAACCAGACCGAACTGGGAGCAACCCACCACTGGTGTCAATTTATACTTAGGATTCAGGGGGAACAAACTATGATTGCTAGTTCAGGAGGTAAAAATA